TGAGGGAAACATATTAATCGAGCAAAAAGTGTGAAAGTTAATTTATAGGTATAAATTGTGTGGTCATACAATTCCCAATTCCTTGCAATTGTAGTTATCATATTTTCAGCTGTCTTCCTCACAGCCTTTTCTGTTTGCAGTTGAATCTCAATTATGTAACCTTAAATAGCCAAGCTTTCCAGCATAGATCAACTACATTAGTTTATTTCCCCTATTTACTTCATCCTCTAAAACCATTTAAGACTTGCGGAGTGAGAAGTACATCTTTACGTCGCGGGTTCGAATCCACAGCGGAACATGTACATTCCAATTTTATTTGAGATACAAAGAGTATATATGTTTTAAACAAAATTTGTTCTAAGACTTTTTCTATTGCTCTGATGAATAGCATACAACATAAATAAATGCATGATGTTTTGTGCAACTTCTTCATAATTTAACTCTAGTGAAATAATTTAACCCCCCATCCCCCAATGTCAGCGTTTATAACTTATCAAGCTTATAGGTTCTATGGACACTAGCGGATTTAAGTGGGGGGGGGGGGCGACAGCCCCCCCCCCCACTAAAATTGACAAAATTAACGTTGATCACAGTTTCGTATAGGAAATGTAAATATGTATACTTGGTAGACCTCATTTTTACCCTACAAAATCTCTAGAATCGAGGAGCTTCCGGGGGCTTCGCCCCGTGGGTCCCCACTAGGGCTTTGCCCTGGAGCCACTAAGAGCCTCAAGGCGGCACCCAGACCCCTTGCCTACTTTTGGCGCCCCCTCTAACATCAATTCTTGGATCCCCGCCTGATGGATATTGATGACATTAGTCAGGCAAGCTTTTTGAAAAGCTGTTACTTGTAGCTTCAGTAAACTTGTTATTGGTCATTATCCGCTTGAGGACATTCACAAAATTTCGCATAAACTGAGATATATTAAAGGCGTCCATTAAAAATTCCCAATTTTCACAAACATTTAAAGGCCAGAAAAAAGAGTAAAAAGGTGTATTTTTACCATGTTCGTGTCAATATGCAATAGAAATACAGGACCAGAAAATATCCTTTTGTTATTTTAGGGTGAATATGGTTGGTTTCCAAGCATCACTTTTCCATCTGCTGTAGGTAATAATTGTATCATTAATACTAGAGGTAAGATTCATAAAACTAGTTATCATATGTATCGGTCATTTTTTTAAATGAAGATAAGAACTTTTTTTGTCATCTTAAGTTGATAAATTTTGCCCAAGTCTGTGTGGTTTTTTTTTTTTTTTTTTTTGAATTGCTATCATTTGCTCTCTACCATATTCAAAATAATTTAATTGACATTTTATCAAAAAAGTATGTAAGAGAGGACCAAAACATAGCGACGTGAGCAAGACAAAAAATACTTTAAGCAATATTGAAAGAATATATTTCTATGAACAGAGCAAACAAGAATGTCAACAGTCTATTCCATCTATCAGTATAGTGTCTTCATGTCCAAAAGATAGAACTGAGTGGATAAGAGCTAAGGAGAGAAAGCGGTGTGACCTTATTGCTCAAAACTGTTCAAAACCGGATAAGTTTGAATACCATTGTGTCGGAAGTAAACATCTAGATCAGTTGATAGAGGTCTGCAGTCCTGTCAAGCTTATTGTTGGTGTGTACCTATCATTTTACAGTAGCAGTGTTACATAATTATAATGATACTCTACCAATAATCTCTGTGGAAATTCTGCTAAGTTTTTGATCTGACGCCTCTGTGGGCAGAATCTTCACAGAGATTATACATGTATATCAGTAAACATTTAGTTGAAAGGACACAATAACGGAGGTTTTCCTTTCAGGAATCCAGGAATAAGAATAGTATGATCATTAGCTTTTCAAAATAAAATATGTTTTCGTTAACGTCAAATCTTACCAGGGAAAGAAGAAGCAATGCTTTGTTTGGTTTTGAATTGATGTACAATGTGCATTGTCTGCATATTTGTACGACTTGACGTAAAGAATTTTTTTAGTTCTTATTAAACATTCAGTCTTTCATGTAATGACCCTTTACTGTGTCTTCTTTTTCTGTTACCTAGGATTGTGATACAGCTAGATACTTATGATAATAGTTCCAGATGGCCAGTTTATACTGTATACAGGGTTATTTTCGCCCCGTTTATTATTCGCCCTTTCTCACTTGCAAACAATTTTGTCCCATTTTAAATTCGCCCACTCATAGTTTTATTTAAAAACTTCTTTTTTTTTATTGTCAGTATATACTCAGATAAACCTCTCTAAAACTTTTTTGCTATTAAAGGAGTCATAGCCATTTCTACCCCAATTTTAGGTCGATATTGCGCATTTTATGACTTGCAGAAAAACAAAATCGGGCAAAATTATAACCAGCCCTGTGATAATCATATCATGAGATGCCAGGAAGTATATATACTCATCTACTTCAGCATATGAATGTATTTATATATCCTTTGTATTTGAAAAGAATGTTTCCACTTAAGCATAGTGCCGTGGCCCCTTTTTGGACCCCTCTAACTTTATCTAATAAACTCAAATGTTAATTATTTTACACCTAACTCATACTTTGTTATCTTTGTGGTATATTACTAGCAAAAATTCACACTGAAAACGGCGTCTTAGTTTTATAAATGGTAATTAAAAATGCCCACTCGTAGGTATTAATTCCGGAATGTTGCGTTGTCCGAGTTGGTTTTTAATTGTGTCTCATCAATATTTAGAGTGGGCGGGGCTTTTTATCGATCGATTGAAAACGTGTTTCATGTAATGGCAGAGACTATAATTATATATTACACAAACGTTAGTGCATAGGTCCCTGGTAAAAGCCAGTTATAACGAATGATTTTTGGAAACTACTTATAGCACGATATGTCTAAAATATACAGAAAGGTAAACACAGCAAAGACATTAAGTTCTGTTGGATTACGCTGATTATTTTTGTTTGTTTTTGTGAAAAACGCGTATGTGAAAAGATCTTGAAAAGGTTTAATTGGAAACTTTTTTGGTTGATTCAGATAAACCTTGAAGTAATTTAGTGAGTAAATAAAATCTAGTAGGTAAAATATCTTATAAAACATCAGCGATGAACGATGGTTTACTTTTGATTCAAAAATATCGTAAATAACAGCTAGGGAGGCTATCGCATACATGTATATCTTCAAGTAAAGTATGTGGCATATGCTTGGAAAAATCAAAACCAAACGAACAAGACCTGCTTGTACATATAACCTCTGATTGAGGTCTCACATAACATTAACACATTAGATAATTTCTAGGGAATCTTGAAACCCACGGCCTAAAACTAAAATATATTTACAGTTTGCCCAATTTAAAATTCCATTTCCCTCATCTGTTAAGTGTTTATTTAGAATGGCCGCGTCATTATTTTTCCCGTCTGCCAAATACGGACCTAGTATTTCAATAATGTATCCATCTGATGCCACTATCATCATCGGTTTTACCAAGGGAGGACCTTTATACATACTGAAAGACCTCCTTTGAAAAGTGTATTTTGAACTCTTTTGGATGTAAATATATGTTCCATCAATCAGTAAAATTGCGGTGTCATTCTTTCCAGAGGCTAGCAACTCTCTTGCAAATATAGTTGTGTGTTTTTCGATAACACATTGTCTTGAAATATGTTCAAAACCAAGATAACTTGGTACGAAATATTTTATCAATGATTCTCTCGCCCGTTTAATGATTCTACAGATATAACTACTGGATTTAACATTAAACAAGGTCTTTAACAAACTACTAGAGAGTCCTGTTCGAAGTTTTACAAGTAGTATCCCAATTTCTATTCTTGCAGAGTATTTTCTAGCTCTCGGCTTTTCTACTTGCAAACAAAGAGAATTGACCTGATTACGAGTTATACCCGTAAGATTTACAAAATCTTCGTCATCAAGGGTTTCAAAGTCAATTCTAGAGTTCTCTTTTTTTTGTATTAGCTGCCGGCAACGAGACAGGTGCTCTAAGAGATCAGCTGAAGATACAGATGTTGTAGTACGTTGGAGACGGAATGAGTATTTTTGAAAATCAGTTTTCTTGATGGTGTTACTGTCAGCAAAATGGCAGATACAAGCACGTGCATTGTCATGTAAAACTACATTATACTTTACGAAAATATCTGTTCGTGCAATTTGAGGGATTCTCTTTAAGACTTTCCTCCGCATACCACAAATAGAACAAAACCTACTTGATTTTGTGCCTAAATAAAATGTTGACATACTAACATAACCCTCATTTTTATTTGAACACTTCAATTGCCCCCTGAGATACTTCTGTAGCATCTGTCACAAATGCAGTCGTTCTCCAAGACTTTTCTACCTAAAATACCTGCGAAATTCTCCCTGTGTTTTTCATTTTTTACTCCCTTCAAACATCGGCGCTTACCAATAGGAGCCCTCCTATTACAGCATGTGCAATTGAATGATTTCGGCATATTTAGTGATACAAAAAAATACAAAAAATAACCCACAAAAATGTCTAACCTATCTATATTCCCAAAACTTACCTTACCTAACAATACAAGAAAAAAAATGGAAGGTGAATTGCAAACACAAATATTTACATTTGAAAGAAGCAAATACCCAAAATGAAATTAAAACATACAAATATTGAAATTGTTAACAATATTTGGCAATAGCAACAATACTTTGCAGAAGCAAATTGTTCGATGATGATTGATGAAAATAAATCGGTTTGGCTTGGTCGCTTTCAACAAAATGCTGCTAAGAGCTGAAACCAGGTGATTTATTGATTTTTTTTTTTGTAATATTTCCATTTCTAAATTTTTTCTCTATGATAACCCTTTGAAAGTAAGCGGAGTTGATTTCCTGATAATTCTGCCGGAATGTAAATTAGGCAGGTCGATAGGTCAGAAGCTAAGGAGGCCTAGTATGCATGCAAATCTCGTGCGCATCTGTCTCTGAGTCTGACGCTAAAGAGGCCAAATATGCATGAACATTTCGTGCGGCTGCCGTTGTGTTTGACGTCAATGGGCGAGGCCTATTGAAATTGGGATGGGAATCCTCGTGTAATTTGAATCAATGTCTGCATTTTTAAAGTCTAAATCTACAATTCTATTTCACAATGAAATGGAAATATAAGGAATCACTGTATAGTTTTGAGAGTATGCCAGGGACATCAACAATAGTGGGAAACATTGGATAATTTTAGCATAACAGGCTTCGCCCCTTATGCAAATTATCCCATGTTAGTAGTATAAACGGCCTGGTTGGGTGGGTCAATATCTAGGACATTTTTGGGGCTGTGGGGGATAGGTGGGTCAACTGAGTGCAGCTCCTGGGGGGATAGGTGGGTCAACCGAGTGCAGCCCCTGGGGGGGATAGCTGGGTCAATTCAGTACATATAGCCCCCTAAATATAGGGGTGTGTTTACACTATGTTTACATTATACACTACGCTGCTACTACGATTCATAACGCTGCTACTACGATTTTGGCAGCGATTCAAAAGAATGTCATTATGACGTCACGCTTTCATTCACAGTCTAGACAGTCTAGCCAGCCAGCCGGTTCAAACTGGATTTCCTCAAAACAATAACAAATAACACACAATAACAAAGAACACAGCAATTTTATTCAAGTGAAAAAATACAACAATTTACTTTTTCTTCTTCTGTGCCTTTTCGGTCATCAGGGATAGTTTCCTCTTGTGAGTAGTACTGGGGCCTGGAATCTCTCTGTTTTCTTCCTTTTTCTCTTTTTTGTTTCCTTCTTTCACTAAAGGTTTGGTCTGGTGAGTCCCTGAAATCTTGGGTGCTTGAGGCTTTTTCTCCAGTTTTTGTATTTCCTTGACGAATTGTTGATCCTCCTCATCCTCTTTACACTGATTAGCCCAATGGCCAAATTTCCCGCACTTGTAACACAAATCTTTCTTGGGGCAATCTGGGGCCCAATGCCCTAATTCTTTGCAGATGAAGCATGGATCCGTCTGTCTAGTTTTCTTTTTTTCTCCCGATTCCCCTTGTCCTTCTTTTTTCTGGTAAGTGCTTCCTCCTCCTCTCATTTTATCTTGCATGTTAGTAACTTTCACTTCCAATTTGGATAATTTAGCACGAATCAAACAAAATTCACTGGCGTTGTAAGTTTTCAGATCAGTCAGCTTGTTGTCATGATCACCCACCTTCTCAGCAATATAATTCAGCTTGTTGTCATGATGTCGCACCTTCTCCCCAATATAATTCAGCTTGTTGTTAAGATCATTCATCTTGTTGTCAAGAGCAGACAGCATGTTAACAATCCCATCCAGAGTTGTATTTAAGATCTCCATATCTTCTTTATTTGCATATTCTGGAAGATTATACATGCTCAAATCTAATCCCACTGCATCCTGTGACTCTGGCATGGGGGCTCCTACATACCCTTGAGGTGTCACATAGCTGGGGTTGTCTGGAGTATTCATCATTGCTTCTGCCATAATATTTTTTTTCACGTCTGCCAAGTTCGAAATGTCAAGCAAGACTGATCCTCAAATCCCAGCTCCGCTTTATATACCTGCTGTAGGGGGGCGGGGCGTGTGCACGTTTTACCTACGTTTTTTATGCTGACTACACAGGTAATATACTTGGCAGCGATTCAAGTCAGGGGGGCCCGTGTGCAAAAAAAATACGATAGACCTACGTTTTTTATTATGCTGACTACACAGGTAATACTTGGCAGCGATTCAAGTTTGTTTAGGACCGTGTGCACCTTTGACCTACCTTTTTATACCTGTTGAAAAAAAAATACGTTTTACCTACGTTTTATATGGGTATAAATGAGAAGAAAAATCTGATCCTTTCTTCACAATCGACTATCATGTCAACCCTGATACACACTCACTCTCTGATTTTAAATGGGTATGATTGTTTAGTACGATGGGCACAAAACCACCAAGAATCTCTACCCCCGGAGGCAGAAGAAGTATTTCAGGAAGCGAGCACTATTATGGAAACCCCTCAGGATTTGTGGTTACAATGCCCGACCTTATCACATCATGCGACGACCATGGGGAGACTAGCTACCATACATTTTCTATGTCGACATATGAAAACAATTCTGCCCCAGAAATGGTACGGACTGAACCTGACCCGTTATTTCGGAAAGCCTTACAGTTTCCTGACCCATTCCCAAGCGGCCAAAGTGATTTTACTGTGGCAGGACATAGATGCGATGGAAAAAGTATGTATTCAATACGGAATGAAATACCTGGAAATTTCACAGAGAGTGATTCCTTTGACTTTATGAACCTCGGTTCCTTTGGCAGTCCGGTAACCATAATTTTTAGGGCCTGCCGACATGAATTTGATGATGTGATCCCCATCTAATTCGTCGGTCCATTCTCCTAAACTATTACCCAAGGTAGGATT